TCTGAGTCCACAAGGTCGATGCAGACATTACAGGACAATAGGTTACTACCAATGAGCTGCTAAACATCACTACATCCAAATGCCTGCAATGGTATACTCGTTCCATAGGTCATATCATTGAGACAAGGCTTCGGAAGGTCTTTATCCTTCCTGCAGTCAGATTCTCCTCGCAGCAATATGCAAATGTTTCTTATGCATAATGACCCAACTTGTAAGCGATGTTCGTCATATTTTTCTTCGATCGAGATGATAATCTTGAAGGGCAAAGCATCCTCGGTCGGACTGAGTCGGTCACATCGTCGTATGTCCGCGAGCCTTGTCCGACGACGGAGCGTGGGGAACATGACCCCAGATTTTCGGCGAGGGGAAGCTGGGGTAGAGATGGGGAACCACAAACAGGTTCAGGGGAATAATAGTTGAGGAGGCTTAATAGAAGACTTATATTGACATTTTATATATAATAAACGAACGTTAGATCACTAAAGAAAAGCCGGGTACTCAAAGGATTGACCCAAGAAGCGGGCAGATAGCAATATGACGGTATCGTGAAGGTAGTGTTAAAAAGTTGAGGCTTGTGATAGTGAGCATCAATGCCCCGCGTTTCGCTATCTATACATCACCATTGAACTTCTCATAACCACAACTCAGCAGATCGATACTGCTTGGATTACAGTATCAAATACAAACGACGAGAAACACATCAGTGCAGCTATTAGTCTCCCTTTGTGGCTACATATATGATAAACAACAATCATGTCCAGCGACCCTCCGAGTGGATAGTCTTGGTCGGTGAGGATCAGACTGAAGCAAATTCAACAAAATGATAACAATTGAGTGGATTGATTGGCTAGTATATGGGGTTTGAGTTTCCCCTCGCTAGAAAAGCCCCTGAAAGACTTCATTTTTCTGATCGTGATAATTGGAGATCTCAGACCTTTCGCACAGTACAATCATATGGCAAACTCACACAGATATACAGTGTGAAAATGACCAATATCCACGAGTAAGTCCAGCCGGCGGCTAGCCGAGGGTGTTTTGCGGTAAGCTACGGCAAACTGAGGCGCATACAGCCGAGCGTAATAAATATGAATACTTACCAAGTTTCTCCAAGGCAAAAACTTCTAGGATATTAGGCCCTGCAGAAGGTTGTTGTTCTCTTTTTTCCTTCCTCCTTCTATGCATTTGTGATACCCCCAATCATCATCATCCCCCACGTCAATTGACCTCGTCCTTCTTCTTCGTTGTTACGCAGGAAGAAGACCGTAAGCCAATTATCCCCAAGAATGTCTGCCGTTAACCGGACCCTCCGAACGGCCTCCAAGCAGCTGCGCTTCCAGTCTCCCCGGGGTCTTCGTGTCGCCGCCCCTCTCGTGGCCCGCTCGGCGTTCGGCGCCGCTCGCTCTTCTCTTCCCGCTTCTTACGGCGCCGCCTTTTCAACTTCTGCTGCCAGACGATCAGGAGCTCCCAACATGCCTTCTACCGACCGTGAATACGATCCTGAGATCAAGGACATTGCCGACTATGTCGCCAACAAGACCATTGACTCTGAGCTTGCTGTGAGTGCTGTCAATTCTGCCGAGGCCGATTTTGCACCCCGCAAAATACCCCGCCTTGAAGCTTCTCGCTTCAACACCAACAAATTATCACGACAACTCAATGGCACTCAATCGTTGAAATTCATTGCTAATTCTTAATCAAACAGTTCGACACTGCTCGATGGATCCTTCTCGACACCCTCGGTTGCGGTCTCGAGGGTTTGAGGTTCAAGGAGTGCTCTAAGCTCCTTGGACCCATTGTCCCTGGCACTGTTGTTCCCAACGGCCCCAAGGTCCCTGGTACTCCCTTCCAGCTTGACCCCGTCAACGCCGCTTTCAACATTGGTGCTATGATCCGATGGCTCGACTTCAACGACTGCTGGCTCGCTGCTGAGTGGGGTCATCCCTCTGACAACTTGGGTGCTATCCTCGCTGTTGCTGACTGGATCAACCGTACCAACAAGGCTGGTGGTAACCTCGCTGGCGGCAAGACCTTTGTTGTCAAGGACGTCCTCGAGGCCATGATCAAGGCCCACGAGATCCAGGGTTGCTTGGCTCTCCTCAACTCCTACAACAAGGTCGGTCTTGACCACGTTGTTCTTGTCAAGGTTGCCTCTACCGCCGTCGTCTCCAAGATGCTCGGCCTCAACGAGAAGCAGATCGCGGACGCTGTCACCCAGGCTTGGGTTGATGGCCAGTCTCTACGAACCTACCGCCACACCCCCAACACCATGTCCCGAAAGTCCTGGGCTGCCGGTGATGCTTGCCAGCGCGCCGTCAACCTGGCTCTCAAGGTTCTGAAGGGTGAGCAGGGCGTTCCTACTGTCCTGTCTGCTCCCGTCTGGGGTTTCTACGATGTTCTGTTCAAGGGCCAAAAGTTTGAGTTCCAGCGCCCCTATGGCAGCTATGTCATGGAGAACGTCCTCTTCAAGGTCTCCTACCCTGGTAAGTTCAAATCAATGCAGTCAACGAGTAAAGACAAGTCTAACATGTCATAGCTGAGTTCCACTCTCAGACCGCGGTCGAGGCCTCCGAGAAGATTCACCACCTCCTCAAGTCTCAGGGCAAGTCTGCCGCTGACATCAAGTCTATCACTTGCCGAACCCACGAGGCTTGCATCCGCATCATTGACAAGCAGTTCAAGCCCATGGACAACTTTGCCGACCGTGACCACTGCATCCAGTACATGTGCGCCACCATGCTCGTGTTCGGCCGTCTTGAGGCCACTGACTACGTTGACGGTGGTGAGGCTGCCACCTCTCCCCTGGTCGAGTCTCTCCGCCAGAAGATCAAGTGTGTTGAGGATCCTCAGTACACCAAGGATTACCATGACCCCAAGCTCCGAACCATCTCTAACGCTCTCACTGTTGAGCTCAACGACGGCACTGTCCTCGATGAGGTCGCTGTTGAGGCTCCTCTTGGCCACCGTCTCCGCCGCGAGGAGGCCAAGCCCGTCATTCTCGAGAAGTACAAGCGCCACCTTGGCCCTCACTACCCCGAGGCTCGCGTCAAGGAGCTTGTGGAGCTCAACTTGGACGCCAAGAAGCTTGAGTCTACCCCTGTTGATGAGTATGTTGATCTATACACTGTTGAGAGCAGCAAGTTTGTGCAATAAAGGATTTATAAATGGGAGAGATGGAGGATGCATATTTAATCGCAAAGCCCAAAGAAGGCCATGGCTTGGATAGAATGAAAATATCACGCCTAAAATGAACAATGAATACAAAAAAAATCAACAAGCAATAAGAGAAATCTACTTGTAAGAGGCGCCTGAGTTGCACCACAGTGAATTCAATATTTTACGAACTATCAAATCTCGTGATTGGGTCGGGTTGAGCGAAGGATAGCACCGCCTCAAATGCCCGCTTTATTTGGTAGGGATATGGCTTGGGTGCTTGGCCGAACTCCGAATCTCAAGAATCGTTGGTAACAGGTCGAAACACTCTCCTCCTGCATCTAACTTCAACCTGACATCCTGTCATTACTGCACCTTTGTCACGTTGCATCAGTGTCTCCAAAACCATCGAAATCTGCGCTGATTTATCAGTCTTAAACACATCTTTATACCCGCATCGCAAGTCCGGTCCCTTTTAGCCGCACCATCCGTAATCATGGCCGCGGATCGCCAGACTATTATCGAAGTGAACCGTTCGCTTCGCAACATCAAAAATGTAAATGCCCTCGACTTCCCGTCATCGGAACCCCACTTGCGCCATCATACTCATCTGGGCATTCTCTCTGAACGTAAACTAATCCCGTGAAGGAACTAGAGAACCTCCTTGAGCGAGGCGTGATTGACGACTCCGTCTACGACACCATCAGCACCGCTCTTCCCGGCGAGTCCTCCCTCTCGGGCCCCCTCAAGACTGCGACCGGCAATAAGAATACCAACACCGCTGCTCCCAAGGCCGCTACTCCCGCACCGGCTGCCCACGCGCCTCCTACTAAGGCCTTCGAGGATCTCAAAATCAAGTCGCACTCGCCCGCGCCACCAGCCTACGATCAGACTCCTCCTCCTGGTCCTCCCCCGCGCAACGTCAAGCCCACTGTTGCCAATGCCCGCGCCCTTTACCGCTATGCTGCCTCCGACGGTCGCGATCTGGCCTTCGAGAAGGATGATCGTATCGCTGTGTACGAGTACATGAACCAGGATTGGTGGATGGGCCGAAACGAGCGCACAGGACAGGAGGGTATCTTCCCTCGAAACTACGTCCTCGTCGACCAGGAGACCAAGAAGCCTGTTGCGCCTATTCCGCAGCCTCAGTATGGCTACCCTGCCTACTCGCAGGGTCCTCCTCCTCAACAGAACCCTTACAACTCGCATGTACCACCCATGGCTGTTGCTGAGGGATCTGGACAGCCGCAGGGACAGGAGGGAGATGGCAAGGATAGCAAAGTCAATGAGTACGGCAAGAAGTTTGGTAAGAAGCTGGGTAACGCTGCTATCTTTGGTGCTGGTGCCACCATCGGAGGAAACATCGTCAACAGCATTTTCTAGAGTCTCACAATTGGGAAAGCTACATCGGCTTGATTTTCAGTTACAGGGCGCATATATTGGGCGTTAGGGAATCGAAAGTTTCATAGACAAGTATCTCAGGACGATACTGAGTCTGTGTTCAGTCTTTGTTTAGTACACAGAGTGTTTAAATGACCGTTGCGAAGATCAATACTTGCATAAATATGGAGAAATTTAAGCAATAGTCGTGAAGCTGATATCCAATTCAATGTCGATAGAACAAGAACATTTTTAGCCCATACTGGTTCTCATGAGACGTGCTTCATCATGGCTGGTGGATCTGGTAGACCGTGTGTACTGTGTCCGATACAGTGCTAGTATCTTGATCATTATGCGAATCTTAGCCATGATCAATATCTACACTGTACGTCGCAAAATTTCTTGTTGACGTCCGAGAAATCTTAAACGAAAGAATTCAACAACACCATAATCAAGACACAGCCTTCATCATGTCGACTACTAAAAAGCGCCAAGCGGAGGATACTCCTGCTCAGCCAAAGCCAAAAAAAAGCAAAAAGAGAAAGGCGAATGCCCCAGATGATGAACTTCTCGATACTGAGCTTGGTCTCAACACGCTCTTCACCAAGATGGACAACCAGCTCTTGGCTGATCATCTTGCCCAGAAATTGGGACGCTTCGGCACTGACTTGAGCGCTGTTGAGATTTCTGATATGACTGTATCCGGTAAGAGTTCTTGTTGTTAATTGCCATTCTTATTGAAAATCTCACTCACAAATTCCCAGCCAACGCGATTCAAGATACCACTTCATGGCAAGAGTCAAGAACGTTGGATAAGTTTCCGGACTTCCTGGAGAAGGTGTCAGAGGATCCCGAGGGTTTAAAGAAGGCGCCTAAGAAAACGGGATCCCCCCATACCCTTATTGTTGCAGGAGCTGGTTTGAGAGCTGCAGACATTGTCAGGTACGCTATTGCGACTCAGTTTGAGAGGTAAAAAGACTGACTGTGAGCAGGTCGATGCGCAAGTTTCAAAGCAAAGATAATTCAGTCGCGAAATTGGTACGTCCCTCTTCAAGACATGGAAATGATATCGCTAACACGTTCAAGTTCGCCAAGCATATGAAAGTTGAGGAGCAAGTCAAGTTCCTCCAGAAACACAAAACTGGCATCTGTGTCGGTACACCTGCCCGACTCATGGATCTCATCGACAACGGTGAGTTCGGCCTCGATCCTTCCCTTCCCCGTCTCCCTCAAATCACAGGCAGGTACTGACTTGAACAGGCGCACTCTCCTTGGATAACTTGAAGCGGCTAGTCATTGATGCTTCACATATCGACCAGAAGAAGCGAGGTTTGATGGACATGAAGGAAACTATGATGCCTCTGGCTCGTTTCTTGTCAAGAAAGGAGCTCAAGGACCGATACGGCGACGAGAAGAAGCCGTTGGCTTTGTTGTTCTATTAATGGATGTGATACCCTGACACAAGAAAAGTTGAAGACGAAGACGCTGTTTCTGGTTGAGACTTACCCTCGATTATTTACCTTATAGATCTTACCTGCTAGACTGTTTATCTCCACAATGCAGAAGATGCCTTCTCATCTTTCGTTTCCCTCGTTCAACTTGATATGGTTTCCCATACTGGGGAAGGGGCCGCTCCTAGAACAGCAACTTGGCACCTGCACCTACCCTCACCATCACCAAACACCACCTTCCTCGAATGTATGAGAACATCCGCCTACTTATTGACCTCTGACGACCCTCCCGATCTTAGACTTTTCATCTTCATTCGTTGTCTTCAGCTTCAGCTCAAGCTCGTTTTTGGAACGCATCTCACACTCTTTTTGGAACCCATCCCTCAATCACTCACTCACTTTTTTGGTACTGTCGTTTAAACCAGCACCCAATTTCTGCACGCTTCTCTCATAATAGCCACTTGCTTCCCATACAGCCATGCGACCTCATTTGCTCGCTGGCGTATTATCGAGCTTGGCTACTCGTACATACAGCCTCGATACATCTACACCAGGTATGGACTCTGAGCCCAATGTCAATGGGAATTCTGACAAAATATTGTAGAATGTGCTACCATTTGCTCTCGCGAACTTATGCACTATCATGGTATTCCTACTGTTGAGGGTCTCTGTCATGACATGGCCGTTCAACGAGTAAGTCATCCCTTCTATTGCATCTAGTGATGGGTTGCTGACTATGCACAGGAACTGTTCTCATGCCTGGCCAGTTCTTGCACTGATCAGTATGGTCAAGCTTTGACATACACTGTCTCCACTTGCTCTCTTCATGGTGCTACCATAAGTGATCTCCTTCCTGTGGAAATACAACATACAAGTCTTGCTCCGAGGCACTTCATGCCTCTCGTCTCACGCTCTGATTCGGCGAGCTTTGGGTTTGAAAGCCGTTTTAGCCTCTCTGTCGACTGTAAAGCCGGATCTGATGGTGTTCTTACACTGTCTCTCCCCGAATCCACCGCTTCAGCTCATCAATCTATTCCCGGTGGTGGTTCCCCTGCCTCACCAGGAGCTGGGAATGGCAACCCCAATGCCGGAGCAGGTCCACCAGGTGGTGCACCAGGCCCGAACAATGGGCCCCTACCAGGAAACACAGCAGGCTCAGGTGGCGGTCAAGGTAATCCTTCAGGAGGCACAGGTCCCGGAGGAGATGGTGGCAATGATGGAAATGATGGAAATGAACCCTCAGATCCCAACGCGGATTGTGAAGGAAACACTTCCAATGATGGATCTTCACAGTCTGGCAACAATGATGGCCAATATCCAACTGACCCGGCTCTTGCCCCGGCTCCGGTTCCTGCCAACCCTCCTGCCAACAGCAACACCCAGCCGGATGGCCAGTCCAACGGCCCTCCTGCCCCAGGACCAGATGGTGCCGATGGAAACAGTTCGCCTGACGATCCCAATCAAGGCAATACAGGACAATCACAGCCTCAACCCGCTCCTGCAACTGCACCTGCTCCTTCGAACCCGGATGAAGGCGACGGAGCACCAAATCAAGATGGAACTGGCGGACCGGGAGAGGATTGCGATGAGAGCGCTCCTGGAAACAATGCTGCACCAGCCACTCCTCCAAGTACTGGCGGCTCAGTAGACTGCTCTATCGATATTAACAATCCAGCATGCGCCAACCAGAATCAGCTACCTCCTGGACCTCCAGCGCCTCAACCACCAGCATCTCAACCGCCAGCACCTCAACCGCCAGCACCTCAACCAGCGCCACAGCCTCCAGCACCTCAAATACCAGCGCCTGCCCCGGATTCTCCCGCTCCTCAAGGCCCCCCTCCGGGCCCTGGTCCTGCTCCTGCTGGAGGTAACCCTCCCTGTGGTGCTGAAGACGGTATGCCAGCCTGCCCTGCCTCTCATCAGCCTCCAAAGGGCGATGATAGCGGTGGAAATGGGTGCTCGGACCCCAACTCAAACGCTGGCTGTGGCTCTTCTGAGCCTTCTTCACCTCAGCCGCCTCCACAGACAGCACCACCCGCTATTCCAAATAGTTGCTCCGGGGATGAAAACTCACCTTGTCACAATGGAGGTGATGGCGGATCTGATCCAGGATCTAGCAGTGTGCCTGCAAACCCCCCGTCACCGAACAGTCCTGACGCGCCTCCTCCCGATGTAGGGCCTTCACCTGCTGCCCCTCCTTTACAACCAAATACAAATGGTAATCCCGACAACGGGGCCTCTTGTGGTGGAAAGCCTGGCCCTTGTCCCGCAAATGGTGGTCCAGGAATCCCAGCGCCAGCCAATCCTCCTTCTCCGGCCTCTCCGCCTTCAACTCCCCCAGAAGGCCAGGTTCCTAACGGTTCCCCAGATAATGATGGTACTGGACAGGAAAGCCCCGGTAAAGGAGATGGCAAGGGTGATGGGGGGAAAGGGAGCGGCGATCTCGGACCACAAGCACCAGAAATCACAGCACCACCTACACAACCCGCTCTGCCTGCACCAGAAGTTCCAGCGCAGCTTCCAGGACCTCCTGCCCAACCAAGACCCCCTCAACCTACCGGTTCCAACGCTGTTGGCGGCGCTCACGAGGGACCTCAAGTTATCACAGTAATTATACCAACGCAAGTAGAGAGCACAGCAACAAAGGTCACGACAGTCTAGCCGACAAATGGCCCTTCAATGTACTCGTCACCATCTCAATTGGAGGAACGTGCCATGGCTGACATAGAACGAAGGCAAGAAGAGAATGGTCAAGAACTTGGCACTCCTGGCAACGACATCCCGGCCCAACCTGCCCCTGCTTCAGCGGCTTCAGCTATTCAAGCAGATCTTCCGACAGAGTCGGGCATGCCCGAACCTTCGTTCGTTGTTTCAAACGACTCGACAAGAGCCCATGGCTACTCACGGACCTTTGCTGTTCTGGTAGTGTTTGTGGCAATGTTTTCATGGCTACTGATATGATGCTATGGCTTACATTCTTTGTGTTCACCGGCCTTGGTGCCTAGTAATGTGGGACTTCAAAGACATTGCATTGTTTTCAAGAAATCTGTATTGATTGGTGGTTTAGCTAGTAGATGATGGTGGATGAAGCACGTGAAATGGTATGATAATATTGTAGTTCCTATTATTATAGCAACATACCCGAATGCAATGACTTGTTCTAAACGATATGTACTCGAACAGACATTACAATGATTTACCAAGCATGCCCTGTCACCTTCAGAATGAATAGGCAGATTTGGTCAAGAACCCTTTGTAAGATTATCGGCCCTCATGAGGTATCTAGGTAATTCAAGGCCACGTCGCTCCACAGCAGCCATCTTTTTTTTATGCCTATCTGTTTGGGCTCAGAAGGAATTGGCCATTGATCGAGATCCATGTCGCAATTCCATAACTGAATGTTCAGTCTCACTTATTTATACCATGTCTTATCGGCATCCTTCAGCAATCCTTTGAACTTCATCCCAATTGTCCTCATTGCTTCATCCTCACAGGTTTCCCACTTCCGCATCAACAGCCTGACATCTTCAACCACGTTTTCATCCTTTGGGTCCTTTGCCTTAGTGAGTGTATGTCCAATGATCTCCCAACAGAGATAGTCCTTGAGTGTGGGCTGTTTTGTAGAAGCAAGATCGTACTCCTGCAATTCTGCCAAAATGAGTGCAAAACGGCCGAATGACTGTGTGAGGGGCCAGTAGTCAAACTCCTCCTTGAGTTTCTGAAAGTCCATATGATACGGGTGATATTGGCGGCTTCCAAGGTCCCCGATGAGCTTGTAAAGCTCTTCTGTGAAAGCCTTATTTTCTTCAAATGTTCCATCGGATAAGGGCACAGGTATCGTTCTTAGCCTCATCTGAAACACACTAGGCAGCCTACGAGGCTCTGCTTCCTTACTGCGGATACTTTCTTGAACTTCCTCTGTCTTGGAGATTATCTTCTTGATAACGGGTACTGAGTTTTCCATCCAGTCGTTCCAGTTCTGTCGATCCTTAAATCGTCCGCCACTAAGCCTCATGACAAGTGTCATCACCATGTCGGCTTGTCCAATCTTGAGTAGCTTCTCAATGTACTCGATCACGAAGGACTGAAGCATCTGCAAAGACACTCCATCTCCAGCCAGCTTGGGCTCTCGGTCGACAGGGTTCTGCTGTATCATGGCCGCAGACAGTATGATGCCAAATTTGAACGAATCGCGGCCGGGGTTGGAAAACTGCGAAAGCCAGTGCTTGCCTGCCTTTGAGTTAACGAGGTCCCGGTCCTCCTGGATGGCCTTTGTGATACGTTGTACGCCAGGGCTGGGATCGACATTGATGAGTGCGGCGGAGCGAACCATATTGAAGACTGATACAGGTGTGTAGGGTTGGAGTTGCCCATAAAGAGCAGACACAGTAGTGAGATGCACGGGGAGATGGGGAATCTCTTCCTCGAGAGAGAAGTTGTTTTTACTCAAGAAAAGTTTCATCCAACGGGTGTTGTTGACAGCCGATTGCTCCACTGCACCCATAACGAGTGATGCGAGCCTCCTTTTATCTTCTTCGTTCAAAGTCTGTCCCCTGACCTTGAAGATCAGGAGCTCGAGAAGGGGGATTTCATCGCCAATCTCAGGCAATGGGGCGTCTTGGGTTGAAGCAGCAACCCAATCAGCTTCAGTCAGCCCGCGTCTCTCATTGAGCTGTACGATTGCTGGAACAATATACTCCCCAAGGGCGTCAAGGATGCGTTTCTTTAGACTGGGAGGGCAAGTAGGTTCCTCCAAGATTGCAAAGAGACTGTTGGTGATGGTGATTCGGATATCGATGTGTCGTGCTTCTGCAAGAAGACCAAAAAGGATTTCACATGATGATGACGGATCCATGAATAGATTGTACTGCAAGATCTGGGCGAGCATCTTGACGGTAGTAACCTTGATGGATGGCCCCGGAGAGGGCTTGGGACCTGCTGATGCGCCTTCCTCAGTGAGTTCCTTGGATCTTTCTGCCTGTTCTTTAACGTCCGTGTTCTGATTTTGTTCTCGCATCTTATCCTTTATCGCACTGGCCATAGTGTGTAACATTTCCTTTGCTGGCTTAGCTGGAAGCACCGAGAGGAAGCCAACGCTGAGAAGATGGCGGTGCCAGGAAGAGCTTTCTTTGGCGCCTTCACTGTCCAGAACCAAGTCACGGATGAAGGGGCATGCTAGTGAGGGCTGATCGCTAGAAGCCAGGCGCTCAATGACGAAGACGATATCCTGCATCTGCGCACGTATAGCTTCAGGTCCTAGTCGCTCCCTCGTCCTATCGATAAGGAAGCGTGCCAACTCTGCCTGTAAAGGAGGCGACAAAGGCGTTCTTGAAAGCAAACGATACACGTAGCTACCCTTGACAGACTCGCGATTCGATGAAGTGGTGAGAGAATCGAAAAGCGAACCGCCGTGTGCGGTCGCCAAAGCCGGGTTTCGAACTACAGCTCCGACTTCAATAAGCAAATCCGTTGTTGGCTTCCAGACGATCGCCATCATGTCCCTTTCGCACCTTTCACGATCTGCCGCTGAGCATTTTGCAAGGTTCTTGAAGAACATTTCCAGTCTGCTCATACGTTGACCTGTTACAGCCATAACGAGGTTGAACAGCCAGGTCCAATTCTGGGCCTTGAATCCGGGTTCTCCGACTGCGAGCGTTGCAGTCTCAACAATATTGATGAGAATCTGGTTTGCAAACTCGATATCTTTCTTGCCCAGGGTTGATGTGAATGACACGATAGCTTCAGGTGAGCTGACACGTCCATCTGGCATGGCACCCAGAACTTCTTCAATCTCCTTTGTCTTGAAGACTTTCACACTGAACAAACTATGGCTTGTGAGAGAGTCCTTGATGAAACGCCGAGACCAGATTATAGTGTCGTTCAAAGTCTGTAGATCTCCAATAGCGACGCAGAGATTCAAGGCAGCTCTAGCCCAGTATGCTCGCTCGACAGCCTCACGAGCCTGTTGAGCGTTCGTTTTCCGCTCGTTTATGAGGCCAATAGCGCGATCAAGCCATCCCTGGTGCTCGTCTTTTGTGTTCGATTTGCGGATCAGCAACGCCCTAACGATTTCAACGTCTCCGAAACCGCTGTGTTTAATATGTCCCTGCGACTGATTGAGTATTGTTCCACTCTGATTCGCAACTTGGAGAAAGTTGTTCTTGGGAAACAGGCTTTCTAGCTTCTCAAAAAGTTGCAGTGACTTCTTGTAATTGATAATGAAGAACAGATCTGAAGGCCAGGCTCGTTCAGGAAGATCCTTGAGTCTGGCCAGATCTTGTTCCGAGTCACTCTCGATGTCGATTTTATAGTTTTTGTGATGCTGGATGAAGAGGCGAAATAAGTCATATCTGCCATCGACTTCTAACTTCCAAGAAACCCACAGAGTTTGACGGATTCTCTCTAACTCGATGGGTGGTTTCTCGCTCGGTAATAGCCGGATCAAATGTACCAAACGAGCTTGATATTGTCTCTTGCTTTCGCTGCCGTCGGCAGCCTTGGCCCACCGATCGACAGTATACTGAAGCAAGCCACCTTGTCTGAGAACAAGCTGCTTGGAAATGTCCCCGTGTTTTTGGGCACATTCGAGTACGAGGCTGAGATATCTGATGCGCCTCTCGTCGTCGTCGTATCTGCTCTTGAGAAGGCGCTTGAGAACCGGCATAGCCACTTCATCTATCAAATCAGATGGGACATGGATTTTGCCCTCTTTTGCGAGGAGGGTCGTCAATATCCTCTCGCAAAAGGCAATGTTGCCTCGAAAGAGTCTCCTATGATGACAAAAGTTGATATTTTTGTCCTTGCAGAAGATTTCGCCGAGGAATCTATCCTCGTGTTGCTCTCGATGGCCTAGAAAGAGACGTTTGTTCTGTGGCGCCGTCCACTCAATCTTCGTATCCTTCTCAAACTTCTCTACCAGCTCGAGGTTGCATGCTGGAATTATGTCTTGGTAGAAGCTGTTCAGAGGTCTGTCATCTTGTCGCCCCTCGTAGAGTATCGTGACCAACTCTTCAAGAGCAGCACGCCTTTGGGGCTGTGCCTTCTCAGCTGAAGCGGTCGAGCCCAGACGCTTGCACATATCACGTACGTCTCGAATGCTGAACTCGGCCATCAGACAGGCCAGCCCTGAAGCTCCTCCTGCAGCATTCCATGCTTGTTGAAAGCGGTCTTCACGTCGTAAGGCTTTTGTGAATTGGCGAATAGTAAGCTTTCTCTTGGTGGCACTTTCAGTTTGGCGGAGGTCGTCTATGATTTCTGATTCTTTGCGGCGCGTCATTTTAGAAGTGATTATTTGCAGTTCAGACTTGTGGCTGAGAGTTTAGATCAGCAGACAGAACTTGGAAGATTAAATGCAATTGTCTTTGAGATGAAGTTGTGTTGTGAGATGAAGCATGAGAGCGGTGACTTAAATAGTGTCAGCCCAGCTACTGACTGCCATTAGATGCAGCAGCCTAAGACGGAAAGGCGTCCGGCGAGACCAAGAAGGAAATACCCGAAAGTCCTAGCATTACCGACTTAATTAAGGATTAGCAGCAGCAGATCTTTTGAACAAGCCAATAGATATTTGCTTCCATTCCCAACTTGGTAGTGCCTCTCCTTTCATCCACTCGATTTTGTTCAGACATAAGATAAGATAGCATCCGCTGGGATATTCAGAGGAAATCGAGAGCATCAATAAAGGAAATGAATATAACTAAAGACTAAAGACAGTCTTATATCCTAATATAAAAATAAGGACAGGGTTAAATAACCGCTACAAGATCATTGTAAAAGAGAGCCATAAGAACCATGAGAACAATAAGGCCGTATTCGTCTCCCTTTGAACTCCACAAGGCACGACCTCGATGATCAGATTGGATGATAATGTCAAAATGATTCTCTGACTAGTCTCAGCTTGTGCTCCTTCGAAAAAAAAAAAATATATAACTGGTTATCTACAGATTCTATGGGATCATCATGTTATGGTCCAGTGAGACTCCACTTGTTGGATCGGCGTATGACTGATATACCTAGCTGAAGTGGTGGGGTGGAGTGAAGTGGCAACAAACAGGCTTATTGTCTTGACTCAACTCACCTATAAACATTGTAGCCAAGCTTACGTTAAAATGCATTTTCGTCTGAAAATTAAATTGGCATCGATAGCCCAAGTCGTGCTGACTCGTTGTGCCAGATTGAAGGATGATAGATGTCACCTTGGTGTTCAGGATGCGGATCACCATGGTGCGAGGTAAGTCCATGTCAAAGTAACCCATCCACGATGTATCGAAGCATAAAGAGATCTATGAAGTCATATTAGATATGTTGTCATCCTCTTTCAAGGCAACAATCGGCCTTGTTACACAAAATCATGCTGTTGAGCTTGTGTCTTGCGGTTTGCCTCTTGTTTGACAGTCCCTCCGAGACCATTCTCGCGATTTGAGACACCAGTTGCCTATGATTTATAAAACAGCTTGTTTTATAATGCGTAGCTACCTATCCTTGATGAGATCAGCAAACAAGATCCGAGAGTTTGTGAAGGACAATGAGGTACCTACCTATAGGATCGCTATTGCTTCATATGCACAAACGATCCAGCGCCTATTCATAGAAACTCACGTAGTCTTCAATCTCTATTAATTAGGTAATAAGAATCGTTTATCTGCTATGCTTCAAAACCCCGAACCCTCGTCTGCTTCCTTCCACGTCCAGGTATGTTTGGTGAAGTTGACCTTTGCTATCATCACACTTGCAGGAACCATTCAGCCATTAGGTAGGAATTACTAATAGCTCGGGACAAACCTGTCCAAGTTTATCTATTTCAAATTCTTGCAAATAAAAAAGCCACAAGACGCTAATGCTCACAGTGATTCACAAACCAGACACACACAAGCGACACTGCTCGCAACTGTAGGCAGTCCTGCGTTTTAGAACGCCTAACTTACTCCCCTTTTCTTTTCTTCTCTTTCAAACCTGCACAACTCTTCAAATCCGATAGTTTTCATCGGGTGCTTGCAGAATATTGCTCAATATTATCTCGCCATCTTCCAGCTGCCTGACCATGTCGTCCTGGGGTGATCCGACAGTGTGGAATGATGGTCCTTGGCCTGGCAAAGGCACCGAAGATTCCGACAGTGTGAATAGCGAAGGTATCTTATTTTATTTCCCTTAGATTATCCAATACCAAGTTAGTAATGGCTAACCACAACATCTAGTTCAAGTTGGTGAAATTGGACATATCTGCCAAGTCAGAGATGCCTTTGCCGAGTTCAACAAATCTGGCGAGTTGGTCAAATGGCTCGACGAGATCCCCAATAAGAGTCCTGACCTCGAGGAAGAAGAGCTAATCCTCAAGGCCAAACGGATTCGCGATACTTATGCTATCGTCTGTGGTCGCTACCCAACCAAAGAAAATACCTGGGAGATTCGTACCATCTGGATCAACAATCCCATTCTACAGGATATTCTACGAAATATTTCCGTAGATCCCGATTGGAGTTCCAGCGCTGAAAGTATCAAGTTTGAAAAGCCGTTTGCCTCTTTGGTTCATCACTGGGAGCAATTGTGCGAGTTAGCAGAGGCCGATGCTGGTTCCGAGGCCCAGAGATTCATGAAATTACTCGTGGATTTACTCAAGGGCGAACTGCGAGATACTCTCATCCGAGTCAAGAAGATCATGAAAACTGGATGTGCTGCTTTCGGTGACCTTCAATTTGTCTTCAAGCCTGGTCAGCTCTTCTTTGACTCCCGCCATCCTATGGGCGCAGGCGTTTGCCAGTCTTACGTGCATGGCAAAGTTCCAGTCGATCAAGTTGCGTGGAAAGGGGAAGAGTATCGTTTGACCGATTCGACCTTCCATCTCCCCAGGTTCGCAGGCATTCGGCCCATCTCTGAACTCAGCGTCCGGCCAGCATGGGCCTGTTCAAAAGATGACATCAAGAGCATGAAGGCTGCTCTCGTCAAACGTGGCCGCAAGTATGAAGCACTAAGAGGTATTCATTTCCGCTTTTATCCTGGTATTATCGAACAAGGAGTGGTAAGAAATTCAGCGAGCTTGCTCTGTAGAGAAACATATTAACAATCAAGTAGGTGAATTTGGATAAAGGTTGGGGAGCCGACAGCATCCCAAGCCTCCCTAATCGAGCGGTAAGGCTTCGAGATATGCTTGGAGCTGTTATATACTGACAGAGAATCTAGATCGCAGGACGAGTGATCGTAGATGCGGCAGGTCAACACGGGCATGATGCTAGATGTTCCTACCCCCTGTCCAGTCTTCCCACCAGCAGTGCAATGTACAGTAACGGACAATATTCTAAGGCCTCTACTTCTAGCGGCCACCAAGAGTCACAGGAAGATAGCGATTGGGAGGTCGAAGAAGAGGAGGATCCCAAGCACCTCACGGATGAGCAGGCTATGTTGACCGTTTCAACCGTGAAATGTTTCTCGATCGAAAACAAGACGTGGTGTAAGCTCACATGCACAAAGATACTCATGCATATCTGTTAACATCCTGTGCTAGGTACGGCCGAGGTGGACGATCTCAAAGACATTGAGTGGAACACTCAGGCCTTTGACAACCTCGTCATCGATGAAGCAGAGAAGAGACTCCTAGTCGGATTTATAGGTGCAGCCACGAACGGAAAGTTGCAGGATTTCGACGACTTTGTCGACGGAAAGGGTTCGCTTCTCCTCACCAATGGTTGGTCATGAACTGACCTTAGTCACAGGAAAGGGTCTTGTCATGCTCTTGTGTGGTCCCCCCGGTACGGGAAAGACATTCACTGCAGAATCCGGTATGTCTTGTCGAGTCTTAAACTCCAAACCTATACTGACTAACATCAACATAGTCTCCGAGAATCTGAAGCGCCCTCTTTACCGCGTTGATACCTCGGACCTGGGGATGGATCCCAAGAACCTGGAGAGTAATCTCAAGACTGCTCTTGATCGCTGTGCGCGCTGGAATGCCATCCTCTTACTTGATGAAGCAGATGTGTTCCTTGAAAAGCGCACCAGCAGCAATCTTACGCAGAACGAGATGACTACCAGTAGGTTACTCCCTGTGGTTGTTGTGAACCTGTCTGACATGCTTCCCAGTTTTCCTTCGCGTCCTGGAATACTACAAGGGAATCATGATGCTCACCACGAACCGCTACCTTGCAATCGATCCCGCGTTTGAGTCACGAATCGACCTTTCATTTTTCTTCCAGGATCTTGAGCCAGCCTCCCGAGCCAAGGTCTGGTACAACTTTCTTATCAGAGAAGACAAGGCGTTGGCTGGTGACAGCGATGCGATTGCGAAGCTGGCCAGCATGCCTCTGAATGGCCGACAGATCAAGAGCGCCGTCAAGACAGCTCGAATCTTGGCTGCCAGCGAGAACTTGCCTCTTGCAGTTGATCATTTGCAGACGGTTGTTTTCATGCGAATGAAAGCCTTGAAGATGATGGAGTAGGTCGGGGCGATTAAAAGTCTAGCCAAGGTCTGGCATTCTAAGTATGAGGATAATCCTTTAACTCGGACATGGCCTCGTACCGACCGCTAAATTATAGTGGCTGATGGGGTTTTTTGGTGGCAATCTGCATCAAGGCAGCATGAACTCGAGGTGATGAGTGGAAGGCATTTCTCACGATGGTGAATAGGTCAAGGCAACTTGACAAAGGGGGTAGCTTAAGTAGCATTCACATCAACAAGTAAAAGATTGCCTCATTAGAACATAATAGGGTTCGTGATCATTTAGGTGCCGTTATCATCTAATCGTACATTGCTTGTTTTCGCTCATGCCTCTGAGTTCGCGTGATCCTCGACACCATTTTAAGCTCCATATTTCTTGTCCGAGTCGGAGATGGGGAATTCGCTGCCTGTGGCGCTCTTGTACTGGTCGCGAATGGCATCGGAAATAGCCTCGTCCTTGGCCTGCTCAGCGGCGCTCTCGTTGCTCTGATCGCCTCCGCCGAGGAACTTTTCCTGCACAAAGTCGACGGCTGCAGCGGTTGTTAGTACAGAAATACGTGGAAAGTTAATGGAGATAATTACCCTTGTCAAGGCCATCCTCGTTCTTTTCGCCCTGCGCGCCACCGCCAGCCATTCCGTTGACCTTGTCCATGAAGCTGCCGCCAGCCTCGGGAGGAGCTTGCTGGCCCTCGGTGTTGTTGGCGTTGTTGTTGTTGCCACCGGCGAGGTTCTTGACGAAATCCATGATGATAGTTTGAGTTTTGAGTTGAAAGTTGTAATTTGTAATTTGTGGTATGTAGGATGATGAGTATGAAGATGGAAAGATCGAGAAGCGGACAAGATCTTCCCTTTTATACAACTAGTCACACTGCACATCAGGCGGGGGAAGGAACAATTCTTGATTCAATGTATGGCAAGGAAACCACTGACGCAACTAAAACAAGGGATTGGTACTTCACAGCTGAAAAATGATGTGCAGTGACGTTGACACCAAGATGTATTGGTGCACAGCTCGACAGGGATTGACAGACCAAGATAAGGTGCGGCGGTAGCATAAAGCTTAAGCTCGCGTGCCAAGTTTTAGGGTGGTAGGCCGCCTGGAGTGTTGAACTGGAGCGCGGGGTAAGAGTTGCTAGGACTCTACTCTACTCTACTCCGCCGCTGGACTAACCTTGGGTTGGTGATGATATCACAGGAAATACATAATCGTTAGACATGCACAGCACGCATGTTTGGAATTAAATGCGTAGCATTATTGAAACAAATGGGTATCATAAACATAAACTCAGTCCTGCCTCCCTTGAATCACCCTTGTCGATCGATGCCCAGTTATGCCCGGAATCTCTCGTCAACCATCGCCGTGTTTTGTTATCGTATCGTCGTGACTCTCTTGGTCATTAATGCATTATTTTCATCTCTTCTAAGCTCATGGGCCGTAGTTAATATCTCTAGTCCCGGGTATACATCCCATTGGCGTCGATGACAGCTTGACATCTGTGAGGCATACTCTCGATGAGCGCTTTCATGTTCTCCTGAGGTATGCTGTTCCAGGTGGCTCGGACAACTTGTCGGATGCGCCACTCGGCGACCTCGCCGTAAAGAGAGCGGTCCTTGTCAATCTTGAGATTAACCTTGACCCAGTTGAATATCTCAGTGATGGGGTTCAGGTCGGGTGAGGCGGGAGGGAAGTGTTCAGTGGGCATAGATCGAAATCGCATCTCGTCCTTGACGGCAACAGCAGCGTGGGCGCACATATCTGGACGCATAGCAAAGCGACATCCAGAGGGCTGATCGTCGATCCACTTGGATAATCCTGGAAAGATGACCTTGTAGTGATTTACAGGACTGAGTGGGCCGAACTTGTTGTCCGCGTCGCGACTCCAAGCAATAAGAGGGCCTTTGCCAGTGAGACCTGAGAAGTGGGCAAAGTACAGCTCACTGTCATTGCAGGTTACAGGCTCAGCAGGCACATCGTTGATGCAGTCAAGATGGTATTCCTCTTCCGACTGTCGAATGACCAAGGGTTCATGTGCGTCTGTAAGGGGAATGCGGACTTCTGCAGTGAAGAGAACCTTGTTCCACTGCTCGACGGTCCAGTTGACATGGCTCTGAGCGAATTCAAGCCGGAGCTTTCGGGTTCCCTCGTTAATGAAAGGTCGAACGACAGCCGGATACAACTTGTACCCGTAACGACCGAGAGCATTACGAATGGCAGTATCAGAACTTTCTAATCCGAGGGTAGCAGCGATCTTGGAGAGGGGCATGCGACGGGCATGGGGAGAAGACTTGACGAATTTAACTAGCTCTCGGGCTTGAACAATGGTAGGAACTGGAGGTCGGGCATCGGTGCAAGGCTTGTCAGTTATTTGACGAGCTTTGACGCGAGTCGCAGCACAAGTTAGAGGCTGAGTCCAGTTGACGCTTCGAGCGACAGCCTGCTTAGAAAATCCCTGGGCGTGAAATTGGACAGCATGGGCTCTCTGATGGCTGTTAGGGAGGCATGAAGCACGCAAGAGTTGCTCAGTCTGCATGACATCTTTGAGACGTTGTGGGTCATTGCCAGCGAGTTGAGATTTGGGGTTGGAGAAGTGCTTGATTGAACTCTGGACCGCGTCAAGCTTGGATTTGCTAACAACCGCAAGGGCCTCGCGAGCAGCAAGCTCATGTTCGATCCTAGAGACGGTGCTGAGGATAGATTCGAGGGCTGCAGCCATTGTGAAGCTTGAGAGCAATGGCCTTAGGAAAACAATGAAGAGAATAGCAAGATTGTCGGGAGAATGGCGATGGAACTTGAATGTAATTTGATTGTTGGATTTGATTGTCCTGAGAGCAAAGATTGAAGACAATTGGACTGCACAGCAAGAATATTTTGATGTGATTGAAGAAGAATGGAGGGTGACCTACACAAGGGGTGTCGTTAGTGGAAGGCTCAATGGGATGGGAGCTCTGGACCAATGAGATAGACCTTGTCAATCGAGCTCAATAAGGTAGAGAGATCTCCACTTCTAACAGTAACCACACTAGCCACACTGTAAGGGTTGAGGCGGTGCCTCCATTTCTGTGGCTTTGTGGGGTCCTTTTCTGGCCGGTTGACTCAAGCTTTGGTGGGGCGCAGGTCAATCGTTATGACGCAGACGCTTGGTCTCAGCTGGGCTGTTAAAAAGTTCAAATATCGCGACAGACTCGTTATTTCAGTACAGCTTCAACTCTCCCGCTGGGCTCTCTATACGCACGAAACCACATACGTCAGTCGCCATGGCTAAGACGAACGAGGATCTTCTTCGGCGGCCCTTGTATCGTATGTATTCGTCTCAAACCCCTCCCCCGCCATGGATCGGCGTGTCGAGATGTCGCAAAGTACTGACGAGTTAACCAGTTTATGATCTGCCTGCCGAAGTTCTAGACACTTTGGTGCTTAAATCTGATACAGACGCCGAAGCCGAAGCTATCGCTGCCGCCGAATCCACAAAACCTTCGTCTGAGAGCGCGTCGTCGTCAGATACGAATCTCGTCGGGACACAGGCGTGCTCTTTGTGTGGCCTCACATTCACAACAGTGATCGACCAGCGGGGACATCTCAAGTCTGATTTTCACCACTACAATCTCAAGCAAAAACTGCGAGGTCAAAAGCCCGTGTCAGAGACAGAATTTGAGAAGCTCGTTGGCAACCTAGACGAATCATTATCAGGCTCTGATTCAGAGGAGGAGGAAGAGGAGGAGGAAGATGGCCGACAAGATTCAACACTGACTGCGCTGTTGAAGAAGCAGGCGAGATTGGCTGATAAGGCAAACGATTCAACCGAAGATGATGAGAGCGAAACAGCAGGAAAGCCAGGTCGCGGCAAGCCACCTCTGGTATGGTTCAGCTCTCCACTACTTCCAGAGAAGACCTATTTCGGCATGTACCGCGCAATCTTAACGGGCGAGGAACAAAGAAATCTGGATCTGGTGGAGGTGTTGAAGAAGAAGCAGGTCGAGCCCATATCCATGCCCAAGCTTCCTAAAGAGGGAGCCTTGCCAGAGGTCGCGTACAAGGGTCCTCATGTCTTTCTCTGTATGATCGGCGGTGGTCACTTTGCGGCCATGGTTGTATCTCTCGCCCCACGACCCAACAAGAACGGCACAACCATGAATCGAGAAGCGACGGTGCTTGCTCACAAGACCTTCCATCGATATACAACCCGACGAAAGCAAGGTGGTTCTCAATCGGCCAACGATAATGCGAAAGGTGCTGCTCACTCGGCTGGTTCAAGTTTGCGACGTTATAACGAACAGGCTTTGGTAGAGGATGTGAGAACTCTTCTCCAAGACTGGAAAGCCCTCATCGACACCTCAGAGTTACTGTTTATCCGAGCAACAGGTATGACAAATCGAAGAACGCTCTTCGGCCCCTATGAGGGACAGGTGTTGAAGCATAATGATACTCGAATTCGTGGCTTTCCCTTCAGCACACGGCGAGCGACACAGAATGAACTTATGCGATCCTTCATCGAGCTGACACGACTAAAAGTCCGTGAGATCGAGCCTGTGCAGGAACAGAAGAAAGACTCTGGATCAGCGACTCCAACAAAGACGAGTACAAAGCCTTCAAAACCGAAGTTGACAGAAGAGGAAGAGACTGCTTTACTTCACACATCCCAACTTCAAGCGTTTGTACGAAGGTCAAAGGTCCCTGCGCTACTCTCGTACCTCAAGAACAACAACATATCAGCCGATTTCGAGTTTCAGCCTGTGGAGCAAAATCACCATGCACCACGGCCACTCCATCTCGCTGCTGCTCAAAACGCTGCACCATTGGTACTCGGCCTTCTCGTTCGCGGTGGAGCAGATCCTACAATAAAGAACAATGATGGCAAGACGCCCTTCGAACTCGCTGGCGAACGCTCAACGCGGGATGCGTTCCGCGTCGCCCGCTCCGAGCTGGGAGAGTCTAAGTGGCCCTGGGATGATGCAAAGGTACCGCCAGCCATGAGCAAGGCTGAAGCAGATAAGCGTGACGAGAGAGAAAAGAAGGAAGCTAGTGACAAGGAGGCTGAGCGTCGGCGCGCTGAAGAGGAGCGACTACAGGTGGAAGGTCCAAAGGTTTCAGAAGGACGAAAACAGAAGGGAAATGCTCTGGCGGCGGGGCTGAAGAAGACACCGCAGGAGAGGAGAGAGGCGGAAGAGAGAGGATTAACGCCTGAGATGAGGATGAGATTGGAGCGTGAGAGGAGAGCACGAGCTGCGGAGGAGAGATTACGGAGGATGCAAGGAGGCGGATAAGCTTGAGTGTCATAATAGATCAGAACTCAGAATAGACTAATACCACTGTATACTACATCCTGGTTCTATTTTATTGACGTGAAAAATTTGAGTAGTCTCTGGAGTGTTTGCAATTTTGAAGGGTCGATTACACAGCACAGTCACACAAGACTCTGGTTACCATGGTGTGGTTCTCATCGTCAACTTTGTTATCTTGAGCTCACAACCTCTGATGGCAATAAATGATATACATTCAGAAATCGTCCGCAAATAAAGTGAAATCTCTGCAAATGAGGAATTTGATTGATTTTGCCCACTGAGGTCGGCAAATGCCTGCTTCGTATATGTGTAGATATATATATATATATGACTGCATTCTAGTTTAAACTCCACCATGGTAACTCCCAACTCCAAAAGACCTTACATGATGTACGAGTATCGCAACCTCTTCAGCCAGTATTAATACCCCTTTCAAACTTTCCTTCATGGTCTTCCCTAAGACATCATTGTGGGCTTTCCTTTCACAACTCAGTTGTTCCCTTCGCTTGCAACTCAAATAAGCCCAGCTTCTTGAGATAAGATGCCAACAACCGTCCATGGATAGAGTCTTCAATCTTAACACACACCTTCATACCATTGTTCAAGGCAAGTTCCATGTTCGGCACTTCAGCCCATTGCACGGGGGGAAGTGAGATCCAATCAAACAACCCTCCCGCCATGGAAAGGATTACCTCCACCCATCCCATGTCATGGTGTATAGTGACGCGCACGGTGATATTATACTTTGTGTTGGGCAGAATAGGCTCGACGGAGCGGATGGTGTAGATACCCCCTTCGCTCCGAGGACAATGCTGAATGAGATGGGTGTTGGGGGGTATCTCAAGCGGTTTGAGAAATCGAGAGAGAGCGCCCGTAATGAAACGGCATTCTTCATCCTTTTTCGTGAAAATTGTGGTGCCACCTGGTTTACTTGTATGAATAAGAGAGGCCTTGCTCTTTTGTAGGTCATATTGATCCATGAAACGAACTCGTTTGGATGTCCTAATCGGAGTCATACTGAGGATTGCTACGTGGGTTAGTTTCTCGTGGTGTCTTCAGTTTGGCCGTTGTAGAGCAACTCTCAAGGTCACACAATTAATTTCTGTACAGGGAGTGTTCGAGGAGGACGATCGAGGCTTTTTATACATCTTCAATCTTATTTGTTCATAAGTTGGGTCTTTGTCCCGAATGACGATAGCCGTGTTCGCAGCGCAGTACATACATGATGCTAGGTGCTGGGAATGAACAGAGGCTATCCAAGAAAGACTGACTTTAGTTGCGCAATTGTCCAAGTGCCTGAGTCTAACCCGCACAGTCTTATAGTTACCATTTCTGTAAGAAAGAGACATAAGTTAATGGTGTCTATTCGGATATTGTTTCAGACTCGAGCAAGCATTGAGGATGCCTGCATTGAACACTCATTCTAAGCACCCAAGTACCTAAGTACATTCTCATAGCCTTCCAGTGTCTGCATGTGCATCGCCTCAGTCTTTCTCGGCTTACCTTGGTCACTATATAGATTTCCAAGGTTATTAATGGAGATGGTTAGTCTATTGATATCAAACCGATATTACCAAGAGTATTACCCTGTTGTAATAAACGTTAACATCTTCATAAGAAACAATACCGATTTTACAGCATAATTGAGGCAATACATACGCAGGTGGCAAACATCCCAACAATTTTGGATCCTTTAGGTCGGATAGTCCCCCAACCTTTTTGGGTTCCATAAGGATACCCTGGAGTTTGTACATGTCGATTGAAGGTAGTATTCACCTGGAATAGTAAGCAACCCGATTTTTGACGAGCAAAATTGGCCTAGTTACCTTCATGCCCACGAGAGACACTCCTCGTTCCTGAACCTCAAAACTTTTTAGTCGTTCTCCAGCAACGCCATCTATTGTTAATGACACACTGGAATCATTTGAGTCCGAGAAGTTTCGTCGTCCCGGGAAGTCTTGGTCAAATGGGCCAATGTTTCCAAGATGCCGGTTATAGGAGGCATCGGTAAAGCGGAATTCTATACCTGCGATATAGCAGACATCGAAAACCCAAATAACAATCTCAGTGAGAATTGACGAATACATGTCATCAGCTTCACCAAAGAAGACGCTTGTCATTGGGAGTTTGAACTCGCTTGGTGGCTTATCACCCTTGGTCCAATCGTATAGAAGTCCTTTCGGTGGAACTTGAGGATACCAGAGGCAGTTATTGAGCCAGGTGAGCTCATCCAGTGAGCCTTCTCGGCTAAGTTTGACCAGTTTCATGGCCTGCGAAGTATTAGAAGTTACATCTTAGTACATTACGATATAATTGATAAGGAGAAGAGAGTGTAGCCGGATAGAAACTTACATCAAACTCGGCTTTAATTGCGGAAAGGCTGGGGGGTCCAGCTAAGCGCCATCGTGGAATACCAGCTGGCTCGCCCGCCCAGCTAGATAGTACTCCACCCTCATAGATGAGGGCCATTGCTTTAACACCAGATGTATGCAAGGCAAGCTCCCAGCCTTGGACATATTGTGCAACGGGAAGATGAATGTCAACCATATTACTCTCATGTATGTACCCAATAGCATGGCGCTCATGGTTATGATCAATCAGGACCAGGCCAGAAACGAACACCCCTTCAGGTAGATTCACAAACGAGACAGACATCCGTTGTACCTTGAGTGTTTGCGAGAAGCGCAGGGTGCGAGCTCGTAAACCTCGATTGCCGTTGACAAATGAACCATTCGGCTGCGCGCTGGCGCATGCCGCTGTGTGCCAGCAAGCTGAAGTATCATCCGGATCCGCAGAAGTCTCAAACCAAGTTTGTAGGGGCCTTCCTTGGCAAGGTGCATCCTCCATCTGAGACAGTAAGCCATGTAATGTTTTCGTAAGGCCCCAAATTCGCTTGCGATTAGCCATACTAGGGTCATTCAAGGCCCAGATTTGGAGTGATAAGTAGAAGGCTCTCCATGATTCAGGCGGATTGTCTATAATCTCGGGTATGTACTCGAACTCGTGACCTGGTTGGAACCGTGAGGCCCAGAAGCTTTCGGATAATTTAAGGGAGGCGAAGACTGGGGACGCAAGCCGTACTGCGTGAATTTCCGAGGTTGGTAGTAACACGGTGATTAACTGCAAAATATCTGGAAACAAGCGGAAGAAGGGGTCTTTGGTAAGAGTCTCGGCATTGAAGTTGATACGACTCAGGAATACGTCGTTCTGCAGACGAGTAGTTTTTTGGATTGCACGGTCTAGCGCGGGGATGTGAAACGGATCTGATCGAAAGAGATTGGGTATCGTTCGTGGGTCAGGGAAGCGAGTATCTCGCGTCGGTACCTTGAACGGTTTTTCCAGTATGCTTGCTCCTCCATAGTCATGTCCCCAGTTCAGGAAGGCCTCTTGACCAGTTGGCATAGATAAACATGCCGCAAACAAGTGGCCCAAGTTCGGGGTGGAATACTTTGTGAAAATAATCCAGCAAGAAGCGTGAAAGCCGTAGCCCCAAGCCAAGACATCTTCGTCCAGTGAACGTATGAACATGGTTGGTTTATTGGGTGTCAAAGCCACATCGATAGTAGTGCCTGGCCCAGCATCATCGTCATAGCACTTCTTTGGATCAACTGGAACGGTTCCAGAAAAGTCATCGACGCTGTTGCCCCATCGGCCGACACCAGAAACAGCGACATTGTTCAATAGATCGCTCTCAACCCAGACTGGTCAAATTAGAATCGAGGTATTGCAGTCAATAGTGACAGGGACTTACTTGCTCGAAACTCCTGGAGCCAGGTTTCGCCAGGCTGTTCAGTAATATGAATTCCGCAAAGAGTGCAGTATATCATGGTTGTCTTGTGTGTTGTATGAAGATGGAATGAGGTGAGTGATTGATGTTATTACCAAAGAGCCCCGCCATTAGCCTGACCTCTGAGGCGCGACAGAACCGCTGTGTCAAGCGCCGTCGTTTTAGCGCCCGCCGCAACCAGGTTGGCCTCTGGTTTCAGGTGATAACTTAAAATCTGCTAATTTTGAGAGGCGAACGCTGACATCGTGCCCGAATAACCGCCGTTTCGACTTAGCGACCATGTTTATCTTCTGTAGACGCCGAATGCTACATGGCCTGGTCGCTAGCCAGGTCGGCCGAGTCAAGGTAAACGTGTTGATCCTCGTTTCATTAGACGGGCGGTAATCAAGAATAGGCGCTGGTACCTACGATATATCAGACTCTTAGGCAAGTAGTCCGTTTCTTATAAAGTACGGTGAAATATATATATAGTACAAGAACATCTTGATATTCGCTGAAACAACAGTTTGAAAATTATCAATAATCAAGGCGTTACATTTTATGTCTCCTCCTCTATAATCTCAAACCCGTACTTCACCAGCTATCACTTCGCCGAACATCACAATGCCTCGAGGTCGCCCAGCTTACCTTCCCGCCCAGGAAGACATCACAAACACTGTCGGTTACATTCTTTCGCCTATTGCTGAGCTTAATGTCTAACTTACTCGAAGTACATGGATGAGCAGTATATGCCAGGCGGGGCCATGGAAGTTGATCAAATCACTGCTAACTCCACGGAATCTCATGTCAGTGCCGCCTGGACGACCATTCTTGCCTGCGTTTTTAGCAGGTGGGAAGGCTGGGCTGTAAACCAAGAACACAACGTCCCAGGTGGCAGGCTCGACATGAAAGTTTCACACAAGGTCGGCCGCACTAGTTTGAACTTCCTTGTCCTAGAACTCAAAGGTGCCGCCCAGTCAACTTCGCCTGTTTCCTTGTCCAGATACGAGGAACAACTAAAGGGCTACCTTCTGGCTTTGGGCAATACAGAAAATGAACTACTGTGGGGAGCACTCTGCGTTGGCAAAAATGTACAGTTCTATCAACTCCAAAAGATAGGGTGGGACGAGGGCTACCTTAACTCGATGCATGAAGGTATGCTGCGGATTGATCGCCAACCCCAGACAGTGATCCAATGGTTGCAGTATATCAAGGGGCAGGTTGAGTGATCGGAGGCAATATAGTGTATTATCTGGTATTTAGCGTTATATACTATGTAGTAGTTATTCTGTTGTCACTTAGTACTTTATGTCTATAGTAGGTATACTGTAATATCTAGGTACCTGTATGGAAAGAAAACTCAGGATCTTGATCCTGAGTGACAAGAAGACTTAGGTACCTTAGGTAACTTAGCATAAGTTTAGGGTAAGATTAGTATAGATTTAGGTTACCCTTTACTGAGTTTATTTTGACACCCAATATTACCGAAGCTACTGCAGGCCTTTAGCGCTAAACTTCTTCTTTCTTCTTACCTACATCCACCCCAGCTACTCCAGCTACTCCAGCTTCATTCTTCACACCCAGAGCCCAGATTTCTTTTCCCACAATAACATCCCAAACTATTCATCATCAAAACCTCATCTCCCACACATCATGGCTAATCAAGCCCATACTGTCGATTCTTCTGGAGATCATGTCATGACTCCCCCTCCCATGTCTCAGGGCGAATTTGAGAATGCTATCAATCGCGCAATCGAGGTTGCTATCAACAAAGCCTTGAGTGGTTTGCACGAATACATCCCTCAACTCGTCGATCAAAAAATTGCCGCTGAAAAGGAGAATCTTTGCGTCGCTGTCGCGGCTAAGGTCGTCGCTCAACTTGAGAAAACCGTGGTCGACGCTTAGAAGAGCGCTGCACGGTCTTTTACGCTGCGAATCACTTCTCTTGAGGATCGTACCCAGGCCAACCTTGATGCGGGCTACTTGATCTAAGGTATATCATCTAATACTAAAATGCATCTAATTACTAACGTTTGATCTCCCAAGTCTGTACTAACTTCATCATCGATATACCGATCACACGACATCGTTACTATGGCGCAAGATAAACCACCACACTAGCATGGTTATGGGTCCTCAGGGTGTAAGAAGACTTCTGACGTTAAACTAAAGTGTTAAAAGAACTTAGTCCAAGATCTTCTATATCTTTACTAAATTACACTAAGCTTACCTAAGTTTACCTAAGTTTACCTAAGGCTTTTTGTCACCTAGGATAGAGGTCCCAAGTTTTATTACACCCCCTTGTGGGAATGGCAAACACACAAAGCATAGCATAGTACCATCCCCGCTATATCCCAGGGTGGATTCGAGAACACCATGCATGCAAGGCTGCCGTCAACAAGGCCTTAAACAGCTTGCAGGAATACATCACCAGTATCATCGCTTAGCAAGTCGCCGCTAAAGAGGAACATCTTTGCAACACTATCGCAACTCAGGTCGCCGCTCAGCTCCAGAAAGTCATGCGTACTCCCCTGGGAAAATAGAAGAAAGAGAAGCGATCCGTGACGTGTAGACTTGGCAATCTTGAGGCCAGTGCCCAAGTGACTCTGGAAGAAGAAGAAGAACTCTAAGGTATATCATCCAACACTGAGATATAGGTAATCGCTAACGTTCGTTTCGCGTGTTATAAGCAGTATTAATACTTAAAAGTTAGGTCAGCAGATTGAACTCCACCGGCCCGATCAACTGACGATGCCCTCTCGCAAAATTCGCCTAAGATTCCCCCAATACAAAATAAAATGCTGCAGCTAATTCATCGCAATTTTTATTATAGCTTTACGAAGGGCTCTTTCTGCCCGTCTTTGAGACGTCGGTGCTACCAATATCGCGATTTTGGTCGAAGAGTAATTTCCACGCAGCCTCCGGAGTCAACGACCTATCGGCTTTACAGAAATGTCGAATACGTCGACAGATACTGCCCTGGGGGGTATCATCCCATTGAGGTCAACAACAAACTAAACCAGCGATATCATATTGTTGATAAGTTAGGCCAAGGCGGTTATTCGACTATTTGGCTTGCCCGCGATCAGGAGCTCGACAAGTATGTTGCCATCAAAGTCGGCACAGCTGATCAAGTTTCGAAAGAGAGCGATATTCTCCTCAAACTAGCCGAGAATCCGACCAAAGAATCCTCTAGCAATCTCATCACTCCAGTGCTTGACCAGTTCACAGTTAATGGACCTAACGGCACACATTCTTGCATTGTCACTGCACCGGCCAGATGCAGCATAGCCGAATCGATCAAAACTTCGGGATACAACTCTTTCCAACTTGACGTAGCCAGGGCGCTGGCCGCGCAGCTCATCATGGCAACGGCATACATCCACCGGGCCGGCTTCGTTCATGGCGGTGAGTATCTGCCCTACGTACTCTAGCCACTCAGTCATCATCTGATGGTATCTAGATATTCACCTAAGAAACGTGTTGCTCCAATTGCCTGGATCAGAGCTCGATCATCTTTCCATCCAACAGGTGTATGAGAAATACTATAAACCAGACCCTTGCCCAGTGACCAGGACTGATGGTCAGCCGGTCACCTCACCGTCAGTGCCAAAGAATGTCTATACGCCAAACTGGCTCGGCAAACCGAGCGACGAAGTTCTACTACCCGAAGCCAAACTATGGCTCGCCGACTTTGGAACAGCCTTCAACCCTTCACAGGAAACCAGATTGATGTCTTATACCCACTTACAAAACCGGCCACCAGAAGCTAAGTTTGATCCTAAGAAGCCTCTTACGTTCTCCTCCGATATATGGAGTCTGGGACTTATGGTCTGGGAGGTCATGGGTGATGGGCCATTCATGAGCGGCTTTCTATTCAATTGGGATGAGGTAACTACTGACCAGGTTGATGCACTTGGCCCACTACCGCAGGAATGGTGGGAGAAGTGGGAGGCAAAGTCAGATGGGTTTGAGGAAGATGGGCAGCCCAAAGGGCAACGGGAATTTTGGTCGCTTGAGAGACGCTTTAAACTGCATTTTCCAGATCCGAGAATGGAAGAGGGCAGTGAAAAGATGGATAATGATGAGAGTCACGCCTTTCTAGATATGATCAAAGGGATGCTGCGCTTCAGACCAGAAGAGCGTATGACAACTGATCAGGTTCTGCGGTCGAAGTGGATGAGTAAGCGGGCTCTACCTCTGGCAGAGAAAGCTTGGGGGCGTAAACTCTTGGACTAAAAGGGATCTGATAAGATGGACTCATTATTAGGAAATGGGTTTGACAGTTCCGACGCTGGTTGGGCACCCGTGATATACTAGATACCATGGGAAGAAATCATGAAAGTTGAATCAGATTACTCGGAACGGTAATATCCAGTATCTAGCACGTTTCTCTTGCCAGATGCCTCTCCGAGGCAAGTGAAAGGTAAAGTGAAAGTTCTTCCTACATCCCTTCCAAGCTGAAAAGCCAGTGTTTGACTTTTTCAGCTTCAACATCGCCGTTTCGAATACAAAGTGGCCAATGCGTGTTATCAATGCTCAACTCAGAGACAAAGTCAATAATATGGGATTTTTATGCTCAAGTGGCCCCCATGGTGAAACTGGCCCCCGTCAATTCTTAGAATAGTCACTGGTTGTCACATGGAAGCCTGCCTCTGTTTGCTTTTGTAAAGCATCTGCTTTCACTCTCGACAGGTTTTGGTATCTTTACCTATCACAATTGTCTAGTGACTTATTACCAATACGCGGATTCAGTCGGAACCTCGCAGTTCGCAGTAAACCCTTCGGCCTGTGATTGCTTAACCCCGTTGTTGACCGGAAGAACGACCAGGTTGAGTGAACCCGGGAAGAATTCCACCACTCAGCTCGGAAGAAACTCAGAGAAACGGAAACTTCCAAACTTCACAGCCACCTCCTAGCTCCCCGAAGTGGAAACGGAATCAGCCAGGTTCAGGTTTGCACAACCCAATGCAGCATCACTCCGATCCCCAAACGGACGGAACTCGGAGGTTGAATGCAGGTACGCTCGCAAGTCTGAACCGTTGTTGGGTCCAGTCAGCTCAATCAGGGTTGGTGGATGTGAATTGTCATAGAAACCTTTGGCTCCCCTGAGAGGTTGTAAAGCTACCGTCATACCCTTGCAAGTGCGTTTGCAAGGAAACTGACAAGTGAGCCAACTGAAATGCAACAGCAAACACACCTGCCAGCTAGGCCTGGACTCTGCTCCATACTGTTGTGATGGATGGCCTGTTTCTCCTAGCTAGCCTGGCTGGACCGAGCTGCTGTAAGGCGAGTCAGCTCTGATCCGTGTAAGCTGTAGTTACTCCATAGACAGTCCATGAAACGCCCGAAGGCCAAAGAATAACGCTTGGATATGACGATCAGTGGAGTCATTTGGTGCAAAGTGATCGACCTGAATAACAAATTTATGGTCTAATCGATCGAAGATGAGGTGACTGACGATCGGCGTGTTGTAAGAGAGCTAGCCTAAGCATAAATTTAATTTATCTCATTTACTGAGGGATACAATGGAAACAAATCATGGTAAAAACGTACGACCGCGTATGGTCACCCAGGACTGGGTGTTTCGATCGAAAATTCGCTCTCAATGTCATTTCCGGTTATTATCGACAGTTAATTAACGTTACTAAAAAAGCAAAGAACCATGTCACCTCAACGTGCAAAAGCAAAATACAACTACCGTTTGTGTAGTGCCTGGCAGATCGCAAGTTTCATCCAAAGCCACCACGGCCGTAACTCGAAACATGGAACGACAAGAAGAGAAAACGCTAAGACGAACCTGGCAGGACAGTCGAACTAGTCTCGGCCGGTATCTCCCCTGTCCGTGCCAAGAAGACGCGTTGTAACGCTGCATCGTTCCGTCTTCAGGGGTCTTCAGGGCATCGTTACATTCTCTGATGGTTCGACCTTGTTCCGCGAGCCTGGGCTTTAGGCCACTGAACGTGGTAAACAGAACAAGCTAAGGTAGATAGGCTATCAACAATGGCAACCCCGCGTTGAAAACGAAACGACAACGGCGATGATACATCGTCAAGATTACCGACATCGTCTTCTCGATTTTGTGAAGAGTATCAGCACAGCGACTCCATAATGATCTCAAGTTACTTATTGGCTTAACCATTCTGTCGAGTATCGTATTTCGCCTTTGTGAACATGGGACGTCGTTTCTTTCTTTCTTTTTTTTTTTTTTTGGCGGGAATACCACCACGGAGAAACATTTAAGCTAAAGAATAGGCGTTGGATGGGGCCCTGTCAGTGTCGATTGATAGCGCACGGAGGCTAATCGATCCATGACGTGAGCAAGCCACTGGAGCTTTCATCAATAGTGCCGTTGATCTCAAGTGCGCGGAGGTTGGTGGAGAGTGTGGTCAAAATCCTGTAAGCGATTGCTGCTAGTCATTCGAAGAAGTCTGTATCGGCAAATGATGCTCATGAGCCATGACTGGTTCGCAATTCCGACGATGTAGGAAGCTATCAATCTGTCTGGTCTCAAGAGACCAAATTTTTCGTCATAGACTAAGAATGGATACAGACTGGGGATTCAGGTGAAGCACAGGGCTACCACATGATGCGACTGGCTGTTCAAGCTGCCCGTTTCGTCATTCTGTCATTTGAATGAAACAAGTCGTGCACTTCCCGATTTGGTGTTAGCCAAGTAAGCATAGTTTCAAAGTTGTTGAGTAAAATCTTGAGACTGTAAGAGCACACAGTAGTTGACATCGTAAGAGCCGTCTCTGGGACAGAATATTGTAACGGAATTGGTATAAGATTCAGTTGGCGGTTGAAGACATCCAGATGAGACCTTGATATTATCGACCATTCCAGAATGAATCACATCGTGTTTGGATGTCGTTTGACTTCGATTTCAATTGCAGGCGATCACTTTCCTGTATCACCAAAAGCTACCCGGGACTTCATGATTGTCAAAACAAACAAGCATTTGCCGATCGTTCCGGACTTGGGAAACACCGGACGGGTACTCTGTAGGCTCGCGATATTCTGACCCGAGTAGTCCTAGTTAGTCGCCCTTCCCTCGCGGCCTCTCTTTTGGGATGCTTTGAGGTCCAGAACAGGATCTGCCTGTTAAGGTTGTGAAGGGGAAAAACCCGTGAAGGGTAATAGGGCTGGAAGGCATCGGTGTCGTCTCAGATCCGTAGCTCAGGAATTGATGATTGGCTGCCCTGATGTTGAAACAGACTAGGGCGGCCTGTTCCTGAGACTCCTTGGCGTCAAACACAGGTGCCCAGGGTCTGTCTCGCCATGCTACTGGACGGGTGGTGGCGCTTGGTGCTAAAAATGAACACCCGTCCTAAAGATAGAGATGGAAGCTGGTTAGCCACGAGATCATTCGGCGTTGCTGATTCTGGCCATCTTCGGCATGATGGAAAAAATCGCAGAGGGCCAATGCTGTCCATGACACATTTCCTTACCCTATTGTGATTATTATGCATAGATTAGTGGTACGCAAGCGCCATGTTTCGTAGTCCATTAACATGTACACAGTAATAAAGTACCTGCAAGACTTGGGGATAGTCTAGCCTCAAGGACGAACAGTGACCCAATCGGAACAGTATAGGCTGCGAATTGGCAACTTTCATCTTGTTCAGAGCTATCACAACAAATGAGGCCCAGAGGTGATGTACAAGCAAGACGACTGAATCAATCAGTCAGGCCATCAGTCATGCCAAGCCTGCGTTTGGCCGTGTTAGCCAGGTCCATGATCACTTATTCCACGAACCTTGTCCGTTATAGATGGCCTGCTGCCGTGATTCGCATCCCCGTCAAGTCCGGTGGATTTGTGGACTGGCTCTGCAATATCTCCGTTCTCCTATCAATTGGCGAGTTGCTGCAAAAGGGGAAATAGGCCAAGTTCCTTGGTGTTGTAATCTCTTTTGACGTAGCAACCCGCATTTGAACCACAATTATTGACATGCTCAAAGTGTAAGGTTTACTCAAGAGTCTCAATCGTAGTTTCTTCGGAGGCCTGCTGTAGATCCATGGAGAGGAACAAGTGCGAGGGTTAATCACATGGCCATGTTATTTTTAGAATGAGTCAAGAAACATTCTCCATTCTTGATAATTGAGTCGTGATGCATAGTGATTACCCGCTTCCGTTAGGTTCTCTGTTAAGAAGTGGCCCATCTAGAACAGAGGACGCGCACGTTATTTTCCCAGTAGCGAGGTCGGTAACGGTCTGACTGGAAGCGACGATGCCTTGGCACCTTCCATCTGCCACGACCAACCGTCAGTGGCTTACGGTGGCGGTCTGGGGAAGCAGCGCCGGACCACGATGCTCCCATTAAGGGAGAAATCCGAACAAGAACAAAAGCAAGTGCCATACCTTGGTCCAACGGGCACCTTGAGTGACTAGCCCAAAAATGTCTAAACGGCCAATTGGCAACCGCTAGGGCACCAAGCAAGCGCCGCTGCGCGATTGGCGGATATGGTGCCTGCACTGTACCTGCAGAAGCCTGTGCGGGACGTTGACGGGTCTGGGCCATCGATGCCCCTGATTCTTAACATGTTCTAATATGGTGGCGCAGCGTTTCATTCATCAGTTGCACTTGCCCATTCGTAGAGATAGATGATACCCAAGAGAAAGACGGCAGACGCGGAAGGAGCAACTTGTCCTGGGGAAAAGAAAAGAAACATCTCAGGCAGGAGAAGAGAGCGAACCCCTTTTGGCGTTGTAAATTATGACAGGTATTATGCGTCAATCATACTGTGCTTTCAGTTGGGGATACCAATGACTGTAACCTGAGTCCGCACCCACCACCTGAATTGTCTCTGCTGCCCATTGTCTTAGTTTAACCGCTATCTCAGCGTCCAAGTGCAAGCCTTACAACGGGGTGAGAATTTTCCCGCTGTCGATGCCCCGCTAAGTGTGCTCTAAACGCCCACCTCGGTAACTGGCTAGAAGCTCTGTTTCGCTTTTGGCCAACTGAGAGGCGCTCTGCTAGTGGCCATCAGCACATGCAGTAGCGCCTCGGAGCTTTAATCAGAATATGCATAACCGCCTTTCAATTTGTATTGGTTAACATTCTACACTGTTTTCTCATGGCAAGCGCCTGAAGATCCAGCTGGATATGCAGTGAGCCCAGCAGCGGAAGATGGGCCAGCTGAAGCAAGCCCTGTCAAGCATAAACAAAAAGTTATGTTAACCTTTTTAAGAATGGCACTTCGGCAAGGCGAGGAAAGACAAGGTTGGCTGAGGTTCT